GACATGCAGTTACACACAACCACACAATAGGATGGGATAGGATGACAGTTTTAAAATCTAATGTCACAGGGTATAGGGAGAGATTGATAACAGAAGCTTTGTTTATCGAATCAACTACAAATACATGTAATAGGAATGATTCATCACCTGTCCCGGATATCTGGAAAATTCTACTACCCAAACGACAAATAGGAGAGAACAAAGAAAACTATAAAACTCAAGTGTCAAAGTCGTGTGATTATAACTGATATGATTATGAACGATAAATTTTGTTCGAAACGCCATCCAGTAAATAATACTGTTGTTTCACTGTGTGATACTTCTAATAAACAAACTAATATGGAATTACTTACTACCACAGTGCCTAAGTTTTACACATATACTACACTGGTTTGTTGAATACTTATATCTATTCATCTTTCAGGTCGTTCTAGGGGCTTCGGTTTTGTTTATTTTACGCACGTTGCCGATGCGAAAGCTGCCAAAGCTGATGCTCATGGTATGGAAATTGATGGCCGACCAATTCGATGTGATTTCAGTATAACGGAACGCCCTCACTCACCTACTCCAGGAATTTATATGGGCAGACCATCTAGGTAAGTCTGACACAAGTATACAAAGCATGGTTGTGCAATACTTAGTTTTGAGATAACCTTCAATAAGTTTCGCCAATGTAGACTTAACAAAGTAAAGTTTGTGCTACTAATGTTGTATCCACCGAAATGAGTCGGGAAAAAATCTCAATTTCTCCTTTCCTTCGACATCCACGTTAATATAGGTAGTTAGAATTGTGGCCTCTGTTACATATCCTTGTGTTAATGCTTGTGATGGAAACTTTAGGTCTTGTCGCATAAAAATTGTGAAAGTTAACTGCAGGATATTAGCCTTAAATACATTATGTGCTGGAATTACGCCCGTGAATTCTTTCCTCTAGCTGACCTGTTTCTACGGGTGGTGTTTTTAGTGATTGTTTGTGGTGTGATTTCTGCAAACTCACAGTAGACCTACTTTCGTTTGACCTAATAAATTTTTCGTTTTGTGTTACCCAATGTAGTGGTTGTGCCATACATAAGCTAGATTCCGATCCTTTTTTAGACGCCCCATTCCGCGGAGACGAAGTATTTCTCCACGTGGACGCTATTCTCGTTCAAGGTCTCGCTCGCGTAGCTATGATCGTAAGTAGCTCTGCATTTTAACCTGCTGTTTTCCTCCAGGGCGTTTCTAAACAATGACATTTGTTTAACCCCATTTTACTGAGGTGCATTTCAACTTCAGTTTACAACTGTTTCATTCACTGTCTGTAATACAAACCTTTCATCCGTTTACTAACATGTGCTGCGAAATAATCACATAGTCAAGTATTATGATTCATTTTGTCTTTCTTTTACAGTTGTGTGAATGCCAAATAAGAAAATAGAATGCATTTGTTAAGAACCCTTACAGAAGAGTAATGAACACAAAGAATTGACATGAAATAATCTTGAAGTATATTTATGTGGACAATGAATACTAATTACGAAAGTACTGAGGATTCCGCCGAAGTCAAATTCCATTTTCGAAGTCAGTCACCTAATCGCTGGAAATGATTTAGGCGTTTCGCCGCAGAAAATAATCAGACTTTGAGAAATCTTGCTTTGATGCGTTCGGCATTTGCGTAGAATCAGGCTGTTATGAAATTAATGGGAACAGGTGTCGTAAGACGTTTTCACTCACGGTATTTACTGAACACCGAATCGTCCTGAAAAGTCTAGTGTGGGTGCTTAAGTCTATATTATTCGAATTCACTGATGACTACTTCTCAAAGAAGGTGCTGAATATTCAGTTTCTGAACTCTGGGGGCTGAAAGTGAATAAGTCAAGAGTTTTGCGTGAATCGAAATTTATAATCATTAGTCAGTTTGCAACTGATTTGTGAATATAACTCGGGAATCTGTCTTCTGATTCTTGCGGGAACGCGAACATGAAATGAAGTATCGTAAGTTTATCACTTTATTAATTTTAGCTATTCGAACGTAGATAAGATGGTCGCAAGTTTTTTTGAATTACTAGAGTTGTGCATGCAATCAAGAAAGCAGTACTTTTGTAACCAGTGACTATTGTATTTTTAAACCTACTGTAATGTGGAAAGATATACAATTAAGGGTTTACAAAAGTGACAAAGATATATCGAGTTCCTTTTGTTGTTGGTAGCCCTTCATGTAAATGTGTCACCCTTCCGGGACTCATTACAACCCAACCAACTCGTGTATCTATGATTGAACAGTTATACCGGTTGAAGCGAACTCCTCCTCCCTATAAAGGAAAAAAAAGTCGGTTAAGTACTGCTTGTGTTGAGTGTGATCTTGACATAATTGATAACACCCACCTGATAGTCTTTCCCGGGTTGGTTCAGTCCTATATTAAGCGTATACGAAGATGCATCATGATGTGGTCTCAATGAGGGTTGTTCTTCCGGTCTGTATCTGACAACAAAATTCATGCGTGCTCGTGGCTAAATAAATTGAAAATTCATAAAATTAGTTACTTGGATCAATGATGCTTCGTAAACAATTGCACATTATCAGATACTCACTCTGTCTTCGTATCCCTCGTAAAGCTTTTTCTGTATTGGGTATATGTATTTCCCCAAGACGTGTTGCCAGTGCTCTTCCCAATCGACTTGGCGCATATGGATATCGCGTGTAGGTACATTTTCATAGCCCCCTTCAAGTCGTGGGTCGTGGTTATCCCCATTTGACCACTCTCCAAAATTTTCCATCTCTTCAATAAGTTGCTTGCAAAACGTTTCTGTTAATAGGGGAAACCAGAACACATCGGGACATGGTTGTTCAACGTCTGCCATTGTGATTTCAGTTTTCAAAAAGTTGAAGTATTCCTGTTGTATATAATGTTCTTCCCAGTCCTGTTTAAATATAAGCAAATATAGGTTTAATGAGATGTTCAAACACTTACTATCTTTCGACTTTTTCACCTGAGATCGATCTATCGTCTGTCTGTGTATGTTTCAAATGGTCTGAAATACTATAACGAATATTCACGACTGTGTTGTACATAACGTATTATTTGAAGATGCACTGTTTCATTATGTTTATATAGTCATGCGTCCCCATTGGGGTAGTGTTAAACTTTTAATGAGCATTGTTTTTTTGTAGGTAACCGTTTTTTATTTTAGTTTGTTATTCTGCTTATGCAAATCTTAATTGATTGACGAGACAGTGCAAGTACATTTGGCGAAAACAAACACCAGCGAGGGTTTCGAATGTTTTCCTTCCTAATGACTATTGTGGATGCAATAATGTATGCATAGCAAGGTTATTTACTTTCATAGTCTAAAAATATACCTTCTACATCTATTTTGCTCTTTTTGCTGTTTACTGTGTGCTATTGAGTATCACAGAAAGTAAGGAGTGGTATGCCGGAGAGGCGGTGTCTATTTGTTTTCTCTGCCTATGCACCGACGGATTGCAGCCAGGCTGCAATTAAGAATGAATTCTACTACCAACTGAGAGAGGCGCGTCGGAGAGATATCGTAGTACTGACTGGGGAATCGAATGCACAGGTAGGTCGTCCAGGCTCAGAAGAGAGTCGTCTAAGTGATCAGGAGGGTTTCCATGATGGCAGGTCAGATAATGGGGACCGTCTTCTGCAGCTCTGTGCAGACCACAAGCTATTTCTAGCCAGCACCAACTTCCGGCACAGTCATCACTGTAGCGCTACCTGGTGTCTTCCCTCTGCCAATCAAGCCTGGACTCAGATTGATCATATTGTTTTTAGTTTCCGGTGGCGAGGATGCATACAAGACTGCCGCTCCTTCTGGAGCGCGTGCCTGGACTCCGATCATGCGTTAGTGTGTGCCAGGTTTGTCTTGCGATTTGGTGGGGTTCATAAAAGGCGTTGTCTAACCGATGTGAGCAAATTAGTAGCACTTGCTACTTCTTTGAAATACCAGAATGAGTTACAACCACTGCTTGGTAGCAACCCCCCAAGTAGTATGGATGAACATTGGCTTCGTCTGCAAGACGCCATGCAAATGGCGAGTGTTGCGATTTGAAAGAATGTTCCACTAAAAACCACTGGGTTTCTGCGAGTTCCTTGCAACTCCTAGATGAATGCCGGTCTATTCCGGCTGGTAGGGAATACAGCAATAAGCGAAAGGCGCTTACGCGCAAGATTAGACAGTGTTTACGTAAGGACCGCGAAGCCTGGTGGTCAGAACGTGCGTGTGAGATGGAGTCAGCTGCTGCATCTGGCCACAGTCGGAAGCTGTTCCAGCTCATCCGAGCCACCGGCAGTAAGAAACAAGGTGATGACGAGACGGTCTGTGAGGCAGATGGCACGCCAATTACCAGTCTGGAACGCTGGACAGAGCACTTCGAGAAACAGTTCAGCTGGCCACCAGCCTTAGTATCTGCTGTCACTAGCTCCAGTGCTCCTTGGTCAGTTAGTACCGACCCACCAACCGAAGCGGAGGTTCGTAAGGAACTCCAAGTGTTAAAACGCCATAAGGCACCCTGCCCAGACAATCTATCTCGTCTCTTTTTAAAGATGGTGGAGAGACTCTCGCAGTGGCTATAACTGGTTTATTTCAATTATTCCTTCCAGATGAATTCCTTCATCATTTCTCTATTTACATAATTACTTTTCATGTATGTATTATTATTATTCCGTCGTGCATCATCTTCGTAACATACTGTACCAAGTTCTTCTGCGATTAAATAAGTAGAAATAAATGCAAATTTAGTATTGCAGAAAGTCAGGACAAATAGTATATATATATATATATATATATGTCTGATTGACTAACTTCATAAACTCACCTGTGGATTGTCGAATATTTGCCACAAGTCGTTGTGGAGGTGATCATTAGTGTAATTGTCAGCATTCATCAAGTACCCGAATTCCATTTGATTATCCACAAACATGAAAACATTCTGTGATAAAAAAAGAGTTAGGTAACAGTTGCACTAAATAAAGATAACTCACTTTATCTCTTGCTTCCTTGGCGAAGTTCATGTCGATTTCGTTCCCTAGTTTTGCGTCAATCAACTTACGCACCGCCCATCGTGAGGTTAAATAGGCACTACGAACTAGGGGAACATTCCAAATTCCACTAAAACCCATGAAAAGTTGGTTAATAGAAGGTGTAATTTTGTTGTTTTCGACTCACCTTGTATTATAACTGATTATATCCATGTAGTCTTCCGACCTAGTATAAAACCCATCACTGCCCAGTGCTCCCCAAAAGTTCGACCACGCCTTTCCTCTTCTTGTTAATAATGGTGCAATTATTGATCGATTCATCTTAACTAAGTGGTCCAAGGTTTTCGGATTGGTTAGCTGAGCGATACTGTCTAATACAAATACGTGCTTGCAGTCCTCAACTGATAGACAATACGCACTGCAAAACAAAGATCAGTATGTCGTGCAAAATGGTACAGTACTTACAATACTCTCTTCCTTGCTGCCTCTTCACTAAGTTCCTCGTCGAGCCAATTTATCGAGAGGTACTCGTGTCCAAACGTGTCATTAAAATGTTCTATGAATGGGAGTTGGTTTTTTGCCGTTCTCTGTAAAGGAAATAATATTGTTTAGTTTCATACTGGATATGTATCACTTAGTAGATAGGGATAGATGAAATCACTTTGCCGAGAATGTCACTGTACCACCCAGACTTGCTAAGCTAGGCTGTATAAACTAAGCGTGAAATGTTTGGTTTATTCTCTTTATCGGCCTAACATTTTTACAATTAAAGTTTTTCAGGTGGTTTTCACCCTATACGGTTGTATTTCTGAAGACCTGTACTCTTCATTACTGCCTTTCTGTCTTTTCCCCTGTTCTCCTTTGACTTCTTCTGCAAATTGACAGATGACATCAATCTGATAGACACTTAGTTGTTGACCGTACTATTATGCGGTGTTTCCCTTAAATCTAAACTCCCTGATAAAGCCGTAAATGGAGGTGGTAAACTGTTTAGTTTCAATCTGGATGCAGATTTCTACGATATGAGTGTTCACTCATGGGTTAGTATTACTCATCATTGTTACCCACTGCTCCAGACATTTAATTTATTTGGAGGTGATTTGAAATTAAGGTTTCGAATAAAGTTCAACATAACATCCTTTTCAGTCTTAATTTTAACTCACCGCTCTGTGGCCCACTATATGAATTCGAGACTTCGGATATGACAGCTCTGCTACTCGTTGAAAGAACTTTCCAATAAACGGTGTTGGGTATTCAATGAAAATCCCCATGACTATCAGAGGATATTCCTGCTTCTACAAATGGGAGAATAAGTTTAAAATAATTGTTTGTTGTGAATGAAAGGCATTGCGAAAAACACCGAGTACACAATATTTGTTTCACTTTAGATAGGTAAATGCGTTTTCTATCTGGGAAATTACATTTTGATCATACAGTCAGTGATGATCAGAGTCGTATAGACATGGTCAGGTGGTGATGTCTAGTTGAATCACTTTTCAGTGACATCGAGTCAAAACGAGCCCTCAGATCTAACTACAGTAAGGATGTAGGGAGACGATTTCGATAGTAGGATTTCGGAGCTTATTGGCATTACCATCTGAAGTCGTTCAGTCGACACACACACACGCACACCTCTCTACTGTTTTGTAAACCTACCTACAGTTACGCATATCCAAGCCAGTAGTATTGAATTGCAGAAATATGAGTGGAATGTTACTCTCAAAATGTCAACGATATCAAGTAAAGAAGATACATTATTCCTTCACATATCTTGAATAACTTCATTAATACTCATATAGTGATTTCCCACTAGTTACACTAAGTTACATGACACTCTAGATTACTATTATGGAACATTGATAAGATGCTGCTACTGTCGCCTTTACCAGAGTTTTCGTGAGAGTACGTTTAAACAGGAGGGTTATTGGTATGTTGGCAATAGTACGGTTACTGTTTACGTGAGTGAATTTTATTTGCATATGAGTGTATCAGTTAAAATATTTTACTAGGCAGACTTCCTTTACTCTCCTACATCGTGATCGAGATTAGGGCAATCGACATGTTATGTATGATTTTCGTCAGGCTGATAATGAAGTGAGTATAAACTGAATTTGTTTTCATTACTGTACGTTTCACGAAAAATGTAGGCGACATCTACACTTACCTCGTCTCTCAGCTATTTACAATGTATTCACATTATTCAAATTATTTCTCCAGGCCTATTGATTATACTATGACGATTCATATCTCTGAGTGTTATCAATTTATTCAGGGTTTTATCAGTTTAGTCTGATGTCTGTAGGTACATTTATCACTCCTCAAATGTCGACTTTCGGTACGTCTGAGTACTTGGAGATTTGAGTGGGCGACCGCTGTCGAGAAGTGCTGTTCTCCAACTGAGCAACAGAAGCGCTTATTTAATCCCATCCATCTGGTCTGAGTCTCCAGGGCAAACTTTCGATATAGACTATTAGTACTATTAGTGAAACAGTGACTATTTACATGCAAGTTTTCTGTGTTGGAGCCTAAAACAGCCTCATTCTATCCCAAACATTTTGTCTTAACTAGAAGGAGTGGTCAAGTCACTGCTTATATTAGGAAGAACTGCTGTTTCGTTCCTTTCAGACTTGTATGTCACGGGTAGATTACAATCAGATACTCGGTTGGCTGCAGCTACCAGTGGAATCCGAGACAACTCATTAGGTTTTCATTTGTTGGACGATGTACCTGCTTCCTCACTGAGACTAAAACCCAGCAGTCGTCAATTCAAACTCTATCAGTGGATAATGCTTTGACACTCAAGCACCACTCACTGGGTATGCAGGTACATCCAGCTGACGAAATGCTCTTCCTGGACCCTACTGCTAGCCACCATCAATCAAGTTACTTTAGGGTGTTGTTCAAGCGTCCATTTTAGGAGCCAACACGTCAACAAGAAATTCGAAAAAAATCTCAACGAACTAAAATCCAGCTTTATGTCTGTTGGTAAGCATTCATTGACTGTCCAATGATATTTCAAAACACCACTGCCCGATGATTTTTTATCCTTTAAATTTTATATATATATATAAAACAACGACCATCCATTAACTAGAGGAATTATACATATTAAATATGAACAAAGGACTTGGCGCATGATATTGGTTGCTATCTAGTGTACAGTCGAAGTCTCCAATACCGTTCTACAGGAGGTCGATCGCGAGCCAGAATTGCCCAGTGGTAACGTCTCTGACTGCAGCACTGGGTGACACGGGTTAGAATCTGGGGAGGTAGATGATTTATTTGAATGATCACTTTGCTTATTACGTATTAATGGTTTATTAGGAAATAGTTCTTCGTTGATTGAATGAGCATTGTATGAAGTACTTTGTTACATATTGAATGAAAATTGTGTTTACATATATTATCAAATATGTGAATTATAGATGTAAGGATAGAACTTTTGCACTGTAGTAGTGTATGATTCCTCTGTAGGTAATATTTATTTTGATAAAGTCTCACTATGTTATACAGTAATATTTACAGTCAATATTGCTGTATAACACAGTGAGATTTTATGGAAATAAATTTTACCCACAACAGAATTATCAAATAATAATAAGGTTAACGAATAATTGCAACGTGACTGTGAAACGATTGTCTCAGTCTTAGTCCTCTTCGTCTTGATGATATGCAACCGGTTTCTGTTCATTGAGAGATCTGCCTTGACAGCATTTACATCTTCGATGCAGTTTGTGTAAGTCAGACTAAAAGTTTTATTCCCATATCTATAAAAATTTATAAAAAAGCATTTTATACTGTAATATCTTACAAGTATTCCAACCAAGGTAAGAGGTAGTAAAGTGTGGCTGAGCCACACTTTACCCAATAAGTTTCTTATGTTATTTGACACAGTGGTACTCTCCCTTACGTAATGAAAATTTACTGAAATCGTACAGAAAACTTACTGTGTGATCATTGAGATGAATATTATTTTCTTCACATTGTTGGCATCCTCGTGAAGGTGTCCATGAATATGCAAGATAGTTTGACAGCGAACTGAATTCCACCTTTCCAAAAATGAACAGTGATCAGGGAATGTGTATGAAATTTCCAATGTAATGACTGTTTAATAATCGTAATTTAATTCTTAGTTTTAATATAAATCGCTTATGAGACTCAAACTAGAATGAAACAGCGATCTACTTATCAAATTCACTCTATAGTATTTAGAATATATTTCACAACTAGGAATTATGATGAAGCAATTATAACCTACACAGCTAAACTTTCAAATAGGTTGTCTACATTTTCTAAACACTCTGGGATCGTTTCAAATAATTTCATAATGATTTAATCAGACTCGGCGCTCAAGTTATCTGAGAACAGTTAAAACATCCCTAATTTGGATATTTGCAAAATTTCTCATTTTCCATCTATCTAGCCTTCTTTAAAGAAGTAACTTCATAGGGTGCGAGAGAGATTCTCATGTGAGTATATCTTTCCCTATCGTCATATCATATACAGTAGCAGGATGACTGATTTCTTAACTTCTCCCACTTACATAGAAAACCATAATTCCATTATACTATAGAATAAGCAGTACCTAAATCCTCCTGATACAAAATTAAGATAAAGCTATTCGTATACAAAACAAGCAACAATTGTTAATAAAGTAAGATTTAATGAATTAATTAAATTTCGTTAGAATACTCTGTATACAGTGCTACACACACTGTAACTTGATAGCATCACTCACTGTAATCAGACAGACAAACATGAAGATGTTCGCGAGTTTAGGAGCTTACTCAGTTAGGAACTATAAACCCCAGTCAAAGTGTTATTTCACTTTACTCCATATCTTATAATTAGTTTTGTGTTCATCGGAACTATCTTTTGTGAGTACCATTACCTTAACTGATTTATTATTACTTTTCATTTTGCAATTCCTGACATTTTCAACCTTTGTCTCGGCAACTAAACTGAAATATAATCCATTATAATCTTAATTCTTAATTTCTTATACTCTTCTCCTTTGTCTATTCTAAACTGACCTATATTTTCAGCAATCGTTTGTCATGATTCATTCACTGTAGTTAATTTACTGGGCATATATCTCCGAATGTATTCCACATGGTATGCGGAGTATTCAGCTGAAGAGTCTAACGAAATTTGATGGATTCATTAAATACCGCTTTATTAATATTCGTTACTTGTTTTAAATTCGTACAGGGAAATAAATGTTTCCCACTTTGTATACTCCCAGGACACCAAATGGGACGAAACTAAAATGTTGTTTTCAATGAAGAAAATCTATCATCTACAAATTAAGTTGTTCGAGGGGAAATTTCATCTGATGTGAATTACTATATGAGTCACATCTTGTTTGTTTCACTATGAAGTTAACCTAGGGCTGATATGTTAATGCTTTAAATGGTGCATTCTTTACAGTTAATAAAATTATTACCAATCAATTATTTATCAACTGACACTGGGTGCCTATTTTTGTGAAATATTCTATTTTCCGTGTTTGTGTGCATCAAATCACCTGAAATCTAATATCTATCCCCCAAAACACAACACAGACTTCAGTCTGCTTTCCTTCCACCTACGCCTTTTTATTATTATTCGATTTACAGACCAAAGAAATAGCACAGAGATATGCACAAAATGATGCTGCCGCTTGGGCAGACCTTAAAGATAAAAATCAATAGGTGAATTTCTCCCCTTCTTATTTTCGAAGTTTTCAGGCCAACGTCTAAAAGCGTGATTAAACATAAACTGAACTAAGGCTAAGTATATTTATGAAAATATTTCTAAGTGAATTTCTGGTTAGGTTAAAGTAACATTACATGATAATAAAACTTTTCCTAATGCTATTATTTCGTCTAAATTCTTAAAAACTAATTATAATTCACTAGAAGTCAGTTATTTTATATAATTTTGCGATATTAAGGCAACACATTATGCAATACTATCCAATGACATGTATTAAGCAGTGCTGTACACTTATTGGATGTAGGTTAGTAGCTTTGCATTACTCATCAAATTTTAAGATGTGAACTGAAATTAAAAATCATAAACCACTATCTGAAAGTCCTGTGGTAATATCATTAGTCAAAGAGTGTATAATGGACCGTATAACTGTGACACAACTTTACAGAGATTAACATTTTTCTCCTGAGTAGGTTATTTTAATTTGAAGTTTGAATAAACTTACCTTTATTGGCCCATTACCATGAGCAATAACTGGTGTCGTAGAAAATACTTTATTAAATAAGTATCCTGTCTCATCAGTAAAGCGTAATTCAACATCGTCTGAAATAAAGCAATAATCACTTTCTAAACTATCAACCCAATGAAATATGACAATGAATTTTATTCTAACTGTAATAGATGTCTCAAAACAAAAATTAGAATAGGTACACTCTCTTAGAAACAATACTGAATAATCTTACAAGGTCTATGGGACAGAATCATTCACTTAGCCGAATCCTATAAAATAAATGAGAGTTCAAATACATGATGTTCAGTGCAGTGAGTGAATCTACAGTTGTTTCGTTTGAAAAATAAAGCTATTTAAATCTCAAAATCTGATCTGTTCAATATCGACAGTAGGCTCAAGACCCCAAAAATGAGAGATGTACGATATACAATAGTGACTGAAATAAATAACTGCAACAAACTGACACCCACGAGTAGTAATCCTTAGTCAAACAGATGGTGCTCTAAACACCGAATCACCTAATCGCTCGGGTTTAAACTAATTCAGTGTAAAGATGATGCACGAATATTTACTTTATAACTTAGGCAGAATTGAGTCAATTCTCGTTCATTTTTCCCAAAGTATCATGCAGTGAATAACCCTATTTCACTATGTCTGACGTGCAGCAAACAAACTAAAATAAAACTAAAATCAATTTGTTACTCATACAGAAACATTCGAGAAGTGTGGTGTCAGTCATCTAACGATTACTGTTGGGAGCAGTTTTTTTGTCGTAAATCTGATTAAATGAAAACCAACTCGTTTGTTACTTCCTTTTGGAAGTATTCACATCCACAAGTGAAAATAACTGCAAGACAATGTTTGCAACACTTAAGTGAATATTAGTTGTGTTACAAAGATGTGTTTAATTCAAATAATAAGCCTTTTTTTCTTAACCATGAATTCATGAGTGCTCTACGCTTATCACAGTCAAAACAATCTTACTAACTTTGTTTCTGATCAGCTTTAGTATGCTGTCACCTTCAGGATAAAAGATGGCAATGTTCACATATAAGCAGTATTAGAAAACTACTGAATAACTAATTCATTCAACTCACTGAATGCTCCATTAAGATTTTGAAAAATTCTCGAAGTTTTATCCAACTGAATATCATATTCTTTCTAGAAGGAGAGAAAATCAGTGTTTATTCTAGGTTTATAGTTATACAGGAAAACGGAAATTAAGAATCAAACTCTTGAAACCGAACTAATAAGACAAAAATGGCATACTTCTTTGTAGCGAGTAATTTTGTTGACTACATCATAAGCCATATGGTTAAATTTTAACTCCAAACAATTTTTTTCAGCAAGATAATCAAAACCTCTTAGTGTAGGGTATTAGGCTCATAGTAAGCAAAATGATCACAGTTTGTAGGCTGATACACAAGCGAAGTGTTTACAATACAAGTAATCATTCACACTAATGCATAATAACACCCTCATCTTCAAAGTTTGAATCTCACTCTCTTGGGAAATGTTTTTAAGAAGTGTATATGCAGTTAGCTATGAAAATATGACCTAAAAGCTTATTAAGAAAATTGTTAAATTGAAAATATCACAGTTTTAAAAAAGTTGTAGAAAACATTAATATAGTAATAAACAACAACAAAAATGAACTTACAAAATTGTTCCAAACTTCTATAAAAATATTTTAATATCAATTTCAGTACTCATAATTAATAAAACACTGCTTCAGTGTGCCTCTAACTCAATCGATTTTCTGCATCGTCTTAGTTTTATTTGTATTGTTGTTGTTGTTGCATTCCAATCACTGTACTTTTTTAAATAAAATTGTGCAGTAAGTAAGCATTGCAGCCTTACATGCGTTGATAAGAACACATTAGGAGACTAATTACGTTTCAAATCACCCTTTGTTGATGATTCGATGTTTTAAATTTTCCATATTTCGATTACCCGGGTCATGTCTTTTGTATAAAAATGACAATTTATTATCTGCCACAAAAGTGGGTTCTTCATATTCTATGTATTGATGGATAGTTGTTTTGTATTCTGATGTCACTTCAGTCGGAGTGCTTTTCTGTCAGTGCGAACTATAGGTAAGCAAGCATCAGTCCAGTTTATTCTTACTGTTTAAGCAATAATGCAATCAATTTAACAGTCACACCACATTACATATGGAACATTAAAATAATCTATCAGCTAAAAATACTGTATTAAAAGCGGTGACACTGACTAGGAATCTCATTAAGTGGAATAAGTTACAAAATAGCTATATCGAGTGACGCAACATAACTGACAGGATTGAGTAGCAGGTTTTTAGCAAGTTCCGCTTCTCTTGACATACAAATAAGTAATTGTATGTCTTGTATGCAAGTATACTTGAGTAGCTAAAAAAGCAGTTTGTATTAATGCTAATTTTTTTAATATCTGTTAAAACAGACATATCAATCTGAGCAGTTACTTACACTTTAGAGACATCTGCACACAAATTACCAAATAAAGAAAAGTACATTCTTAGAAAAGTTTACACAATACTACTATGAAACGTATCAAAAAAGAGTAAATTTTAATAAAACATCAGTGATATTCTTAAGCTAAGTGTAATTGAACAAAATGAGAAAAACAACTGAAGAAAGTTGATCTGATCGTACTTATTCTCGTTAATGTGTGGCTGAAGTCTTGCGGTATTCAAGAGACGGAATTTTCGTACCACTTTATATTAGATTAATATCAAAATGATATTTTCTAAAGGCCATTTTTTTAAATCAAACAATGAAGATGGTCCATCTTGATAATAGTAAAGATGGGTCGAATTAAGAGTGACTGACCGTCTACACGTTACGTACGTAAAGTAAACTCAAATAAAGTATCAAGATTAAGTTATTCCATACAGTCCAAAAGAAAAGTAGTAAAAAACTCACTCAAACCAAGCTAATCACGGGCACAAACCTGTGAATACTTTAACTGTTCACATGATTACAGTGCAGTAAGTAATATTTTTCATTGTGGTGAAACAATTCCAATGACTAAAATATGAAGGAAAGCCACAAAACTCAGTTGCATGGGAATACATGCACTGATTACTCTAAACTTCTCCATGATACATAAAGTACACATATTTTGAAGATGTAATTGTGTTCCTGCAATGTATCTCACACAATCAGGCTAATTTAGGGGTTATGTTACAATGTTTCATAATTCTTGCTGCGAATTATCATAAGTTACCTCAAGGTCTAGATATAGTCTTCATCATTTTTTCGATGAAGTGTAGATACTTGATTTTAGGGGACTTTTGGAGCACGGATATATCTCCATGCAGTGAATCTTCTAGATGAAAACAGTACTGAACTGTATTTTCTTACTTTCAGCTAATTACATGCCATACAATCTAGATTCAACAGCTAACTTACTACTCTCCTATTAATCAAGATATATTATCATTATGCCTCTTCACAAATGAACGAAACAAAACAACTTCCTACCAGAAAGCACACCAAGTAATCGCGAAAAGTAAATGTCAGTGCATACTCTGAAAACTGAACTTGAAAGTTATCGAATTGTTTTATGTTAGGAGCAAAGCAACCAAAGTCTCAAAACTCTCAAATATCATAAGCAGTGAGTATCTACAATAATAAGCAAACTAATGAGATCTAAAAACACATCACTAGGTGGTTAGGTCAGAAGTTTTATTCATAGTACAGTATAGTCAAGATTGATTCTGTATGTGATTGGATGGTGTAAGTGGGTTGATCTTCACAAGAAAACCACTGTAATAACATCACTGCCGCAACACTATGAAGTAAGTTTTGGATAGGAAATTAAATAACAAACAGTTTGATAGTTATTAACTTCACTGAAACGTATGATCTATGGAGTGAAGCATTTGCAACGCAGGTGTATACAGAACTACATACGTAGAATTTTCTCTAAACAAGTTATGCTATACAATAAAAATTGTCGAAACCTCCTTTTAATTAAGGAGAGGGGTTCACACCTTCCTATATAGCTCGAGTTCCGGCACCTTTATTAAGTGATAGAAATCCATCCACACTATCACACACTAAAAGAATGAGTTCAAACTCAGACCCCATCAATTTAACGTTTGCTTTTTGACTGGTCATTGAGGAGGTAGTGAAATAAGTGGTCTCTTATTAACTCTGTGTACATACTAATATTAATTTTTTTTGTGAGTTTCCTTCCCAAAGAGTTTCCTATAACATTTTAGTTGAAATTCCTCCACCATTTAACAGATAACTGGAATGATGGAAACGCAAATATCACTATAATAACCACATCAGATCCTCTGATACCGAAAGGAAAACAGTCACATATAAATTCTATCTACTTCGTTCCCCGTGGAAAGAGGTTTTCTAAGTACTATTCTATCAAGAGATAGTAACCTTTTAGAAAAATATTGTCTACTTAAAAGGTATTAACGTAGTCAGTGTGTGTAGGAGTCGTTTTTTTATAACATAACTCAGAGTTATTTATTCAGAGCACAGAAGTAACGGAGTGGAAACTTACTTCTGTTATCATGATTCAGCATATCAGCCCGTGTACATCATGCATTTCAATATGTATATTTAAAGGTTTATGAATAGGACCGCATACATCAAGGGATATGGTTTTGAGTGCACCAACCGCATCTGGGCAACTTAAATGATTTGTCAATGATAAATACAATCTAGACATTCACTGAACGATTGTAGTGGTAAAGTAATTAAACTCTTAGTTCAGCAATTACTACAGTCTTCGAAGCACACTTGACACTTCTTCCGAGGTAACCTAACTACACAAAGGTCAAACTACCTTAAACGGTATGATTGAAACCAATTCAAATCTCATCAGAAACGAATACGATATGTCATATAAAATCCGTTTAGTAGTCTTTAAAACTTACTCTTAGTGTAGAGTCAAGAAATATATTTGTGTAGTATAGCTGGTCATCGTCATCGTCTTTAATAGGCGCATGGTTCACGATTTTAATTAGATTAGATACTGGTCCAATAAATCCTCCAGAGTTCAGATATCGTTTTTCACCAGGCTTTACCTCAGGATACAAATCCTAAACGCAAATAAGTAATCGAAATTTAGTATTAGAGACGTCTTAGACTACGTTTAAAAGAAAATATCATAGATTTATGACCGAAAAGCGACCTATTTATATCTGCCAAGTTTATTTTACTTTACATCCTATTTAGAAAAGTACCCCTCAAACGTATGCAGCATAATGTACAATCAAAACACTGAATTTGAAGTGTTTTCATACCTTTCAATGTTATTACAACTTATACGACCGAAAAAACAACAAATAAGCAAGAGGGAAGATCTAAACAGGAAGGTTTTATACACATACTACTGTGTTTTCCTCTTAAGCTGCAGCTAATTTTTTCTCTGCTAGATTTGTGAAAGGAACCTGAATAGGTTCGCTTATGATAGCAAAATCTGGCGAAAATACTTTCTACTAGTCGTGAAAAGATTAGGGAGACTCGGGTTCGAATAAATTACCATATCTTATCGCGGCTTAAGAAGCTAGGTAACACATTTCTAATCACAAATGTAGTTCTCTGGCATACTAGACTTTATGATCAACTTACTTTTAGATCTGCCTTTGGCCAACAAAACTCCTCTGCCGAGAACACCACTTTTGATTCAAACTTCTGATATTCTTGGAGTAACTTTTCCAAAGTTTGCATGAAAACAACATCATAGCTATACAAAAAAGTTTGAAATAAATCATCTTTAATAGAAATGTAGGCACACAACAGCACACATATATACATACTAAATTATTAAAAATCAGATATTGGAGATGACTCTCACTCGTCCAACTGAAACTGAAACAACCGAAAAACGCTTACATCATTTACGTTAATTCAATTAACGGAGTTATGGTCAAACAAAATAGTACAAGAATTCCACACTGAACTTCCGGTTCTGAGTAAGATGCATGTTTCATCTAAAGAGGTTCAGAACCTCCAGCAACTATCGTAGGTGTCACTTCTGCACCCTATTACTTCTTACTTTCTTGACAAAAGAGAATAGAACCAGGTTACAGAACAAACGACACGTGATGAAAACATGACAGCCAGGGAAATTTTCAAATCAATTTTTAGACGGCTGAGACGAGATCCCTTCAGAACAAAGTCCGTAGACTAAAGTTTTTAACATGGCCTCAAATAATTGTCACTGCATCAGCTGTCTTAACCTTGCGAAGATTCAAATTTATCCACTGAGTATATTTCTCAATAAACTCTTATTGAAGATAACGTGAAAAACCAAAATTAGACTTATCTTACCTGTTCAGAAAGCACTGTGAGATTTTGAAGATTGGAAGGGCTATGTAAATGAATGGTCGGTAACAGCTATCTAACAAACTTAACTCTAAAAGATCAAATGTATATTTTGGCTTCTTATACTAGGTGAACTGAATTCGAAAAGAATACGTACATGCGAATGACTGAGGGTGACATTGGATTTTCCTAACTAGTGACATCAGCTAAGTGCATAGAACAAAAGTTTCAGAACCATTTTAACATCAGTACTCATTAGCTTTTAGTAACTCGGAAGTTTGAATAAAATAGTTAATTCAGACTTTATTCGACTGAAATTTATTATAGTGACACAAAATGACGGTCGTTTTAGTTCAAACGTTCTGTTAACCAGACTACCAGCTGTTTGTGTTTCATTTTATAGGACTTTCAGGCCCAACACCTGGAATGTAGAATAACCACAAGTTGGTGGTAAAAAGTTTACGATAAATAACATCCCTCATCTTGGTATAACAAAGATGATAATAGTGTTTGTGACTGAAATCCGTTAAAACAGGATGTAGAATAGTCTTGCAGAACAAGTGATTATTATTTATCCATAAGTGTTTGGAATTCTATCAGACAAGGATCATTTGCAAACATTTTGAACTGTCTATCGTCTTACTTTGTGAGCGTGAAATCTGGATTGAATATTTTATTCATTCTTCTGCACGAAGAATGAACTAACTGAAGTAATTAGATATTCAGGAAGAAATTTTCCTTCCTTACTGATAAAATAACAATCATTAATTAAATTACAAGCAATACAAGAAGTCCCCTTTTGTCCAATGAATTTGCAACAGCTCAACAAATCTAGTGACCGGCACTCAATGCCGAAGACAAAAAAGCTTTCGCTACACACGTTTATAATCATTTAAGGTTATACATGACACTTTGAATCCCTCAGTAAGAACGATAAACAAGAAAACACTGTAAAACCTAAATTTTTCACAAAATATTCTATTGCTAAACCCTGAATACCAACACAGATGACGAAATATCACACTTACTCCAAGACTATGGCCGAATATAAAAAAGAGCGGATGCATTTTGTTTGCAGCGAAGGCAACTACAAATCTGCATTCAATATAAAGTATTTAGAGTATGATATCATTTTAAGGCTGCGTATGAGTTGTAAAAACTTAAAGAAAATGTTTGTTTATTAAGTAGAAATGAATGTCTCTGCATTCACGTTACTTCAAAAAGAACTCCTTGCACTACTAAATCTGTCCGCAGAGTGTATTACAATCTTGACAAAAAAGGGTTCCGCCTTCATCAAACACATAAATTTTAGAAAAATTTCTAAATCTGTATGAAACAAAATAAGCGTATGGCCAAATTTCACAGCAAGTGCTTCTAATGAACTTTAAGAATCTATAACTTACTTACCTATCAACAAAGATAATAAGTTGATCATCTGGATAAACGGTGTTTGACAGCTCATGTTTTAATAAATTAACTTTCTGTCCCCCTCCAACGGAAGTTGCTACATTTCCACCATTCCAATTCATACCTTCTCCAAGAACCTTCAGAATAAAACGTCTTATCGGAAGCAATAACCAACCTTTACAGAGAACCCATTAAGACTACATGATCTTAAGAATCTGTGCAAAGCATCGTTTCTTTCAGTTGCTACGGTCAGGACCAGTACATCTTTATAAAATGTATTTATTTAAATGCTTAAAAATTACCGTGACAGAGACAAAACTCAACAGACAGCCAAGTCAAACCCAAAATCACCGCTATTAGACTTGTACGCGACATCATCCAAAATGATTGAAATGAATTCACGTATTCTGTTTATATATGTTTAGTGACTAAAACAAACAAGTGCATCAAGGTTATCATTCGACCCACAGACCTACTTTTCTAGTATTCAGTGGTGAGGAGAGCGATAAATTAGTATGTGATTATTTTTTTACCGAAATTATTTATTGACCAAGCTTAATTAGTCGAAAATTTTAAGGGTAGCCACTATCTCACGGAAATAAAGCTCAACCACCACATACAATCCCTCCTCAGCTGGCATTCAAAATTGGAGATTCAACCTATAAAATAATAATTCTCAGTTTCACTACAATCAACATGAATTAACACTTTCTATCACTGTTTACAGAAACTCCTTAAGCTTATATACTTGGATATTTTTTAATTTCTCAAGTTTTAAGAGTCGTTTTCTGGTAAGAAATCAGAAGTAACATAGGCATGTGAAGTTTACCGATAAATACAGATCATTTGAACTTTGAGAGAGCTTACATTAAGGGATGTCACCAAGGTTAGACTTGGCTTCAAACTTATCTGGTGAATGGTTTCCCTTTAACAGCATATTCAAAACTACTGATATTCTTCCTTTAACGTGATGATGCTTAGCCTAACGCCATCGCCCACTAATAAACCTTTGCTTCATTAGACGATTCGTGCATAGCTATCTAACATGCATCTCGGTTTCTCAGGAACCCTTTTTAACAAAAAGCCTACCTGGAGCGTTGTTAACAAAATCGTAGCGCCTATGCTTTACCGTGAATGTAGGTATGTGAATGTGGTACTGCACTATCTGCTAGGCGAGTAGAGGTTATCAGAACTATAGAAATGAAGATGAAGATGAGAAATAGTTAGAACTCAGGAACTGCGGGTATCAATAACCATAATAAACTTTCACAACCGAGGCGCTTGTTAAATCACTTACGCTATGACGAAATATGAAAACCTAAAAGCAATATCCGAAAGCTTTGATGGTTCGAATATCAACTAGTAATTCATTGTGATGCTGAGCGATTTGATTAAATACCTACTTTCACTGTTGCCTATAGATGGGAACAGTACGTTCGGGCCACACGAAACGTTAGTCTCTTCACAGGTAATAATGACAATAGCAATATTAACTGCCAGTGACTCACAACAGCAGTAAGCGTCGAGTCAAACATACAAAGAACTAACGTTACAGCAATAAGTAATTTTTAGTCCATAACCGGCCACAAACCAGCAATATACGGCTAAAGCTATATAGAGAGGCTTCAGCTCACCTGACGGAACTCGTCAACACCCTCAGTTACTAACAGGCTGTTATACCGCCGATTGAATCAGCGCTCGCGGAGAGGCCAGCGACAATACCACGCAAAATCAGGACACACAACAAAAACACCAAACCAAAACAAAGATGCGAAAGTCAAACTTATTATTCGCAGGGATAGAGAATGTCGGCGACTAATGGAAGCCTTTAGTAAGCTAGTCACTCGACATGTGCCCTTTACATGAAAGCGAAGGTAAGCATCCAGACGCGGAATGTTCGTGTAATGTAAGAACGTAGGAGGACTGCACAGGCTCCCAAAGAAATGAGGAGACACGGTATATAAGTCCTAACAACCTGAGACAGCAGAGAATTTGCATTCACATAGTTGTTAGCTGCAGAGTCAATGACATACTCCACTTATCCAGACGAAAACCGCCAGCGCAGAGAGGGACTGGCCAACATGATATTGCCAAGAGCTTCGAAGGCTATCATGCGGAAGCAACCAATCTCCCAAAGGTAAACGACAGAAACATTAAAATCGAAGGATAGAAAGTTCACCAAAAATTAAACCTAAGGCATCTGATAAAATCCCGACACAGTGGGAAGAAGTAGGAAATAAACGATCAACTGCAAACAGCACTAGGTGAGGGCTCAACCATATAGCTGCATCAAAATCCTGATAGGAGATATGAATGCCAAACTGCAAGCAGACAACACTGGAGAACTCATCATGGGTCGAGGGGCTCTCAGCGAAATGAATGAGAACGAAGAACTCTTCACAGACCTCTGCGCCTTCAATGGTTTGGTGATTGAAGGTAGCGTGTACAAACACGCGGATATACACCAGACGACATAGAGTTCACCTAACGGACACACTGAATATCAGATAGACTTCATCCCAATGCTGGTCAAGAGAGTAGGGATGCAGCCTGCTGGAGACGAAGTTGAGAAGGGGAGATGTGGCCTCAGACCACTATGTCGTTCAGGCAGCCTTCAAGCTGAGAGCCCTCAAAACAACTGGAGGTAGACCAGAATTGATGCTCAACACTCGGAAATTGAAGGGTGAAACCCAGAAGACACTTTAGAGGCTGACGGTATTGACGTTCGCGGATTGTACGGAGTATACTAACTCAAGATCTTATACCAGCAACTTCTATAGTATTCGTTCCTCGTATACCAAAGACAAAGTAAAACGCCACAAATGATCGTCCAAAGTATGAGATATATTTCGGGACCAAATAGTAAACCGTGATGAATACTTAACTAGCTAGTGATCGTGCACGAACGTGTCACGGCGGAGTGCCAAATGGCATGGATGCTTGACGGGAAGCCTTCAGCTAAACAAGTCGACTTAAGCAGTGAGGGTCACCATCCAATGTTCAGTGATGATTGCTGTGGTCAATAATTTTGGGGAATTATTTACCGCTACAACACCTTCACTGCAGCCGTCAGAGCGAGGTCGAAAGCATTACGTGCCATCAGTGAGGAAATCTGCATGGAAGTGAGGGTGATATTTAAGGAAATGTGTACAAGCTTTTTGGGAAGAAAGAACAGGCAAGACATGGAATGGCTCTCTACGGACACATGGAAGCTAATAAAGGAGAGAAGGATGATGAAACAGAAGACAGACGAATGTAATGATGGACAGCAAAATGAGAGGTTGAGTTCAGTGTACAATGCACTGAATGCAAAAGTAAAGAAGGGTGCTAGGAAAGACAAAAGACAATTCTACGACACACTGGAAACTGAGGGAGAACAGGCCGCAGGTAAGAGAGATCTCAGCACATTTTATGAGATAGCCCAATCGTCATTGGTGAAGAGATCAACATCGATGAGACCAATAGAAGATAGTGAGGCTGACTGATAACCGAAGAGGAGAGAGGATGGGCTGATCACTCCAGACGACTCTCGAATTGACCTCTACCTGAAGCTTGTCCAGAAACACCACCAAGAGGCACAGAAGTGTCACTGGACACCCATTCTTCAATGACAGCAGAAGTCTTGAATGCAAAGGAGCTACTGAAAGCCAGTCGGGAAAGCAGAAGGAGCATATGGAAATCCTCCGGATGCACCGAAGGCAGGTCTGAGGATCGCGGCGGAAGTGCTCATGCCACCATTACACAAAATTTGGGGGAGAGGAAAGGCACTTGTTGATTGAAAGAAAGATTATCTTGTCAAACTATGAAAGAAGGGTGACTTAGACCTCCGCAAGAACTGGCATGGAATCATGCCCTTATCCATGTCAAGTAAACACTAAGTCGCGTAATCCTGAAGAGACCATGGGATGCCCTGGACGCAGGAATCCACCCAGAACAGGCTGGATTCACCAAAAATCAAACCATATGTGGATCAAATTCTAACACTAAGCATCATCATTGAACAGAGCATAAAATGACAGTCAAATATCTACGTCAACCTCATCCACTTTGAAAAGGCTCTCGAAAGTCTCGACCACGAGGTTATCTGGAAACTACTTCAACACAATGCACTGTAGTGCCCCAAATCTTCATCAGCTTCACTCACCAGCTATTTGACAATGCCACATGTCAAGTGATCCACAACAGAAAACTCACCGAAGCTTTTGAAGTGAATACAGGGGTAAGACAAGCTGGCTGCCTATTATCATCAATGATATCCCTAATTGTTGTGGACCGGATTACGCGACAGACCGCAGAGGAAAGAGAAAACAGGAATACGTTGACCGTCAACGTTGACTGTAGAATATCTGAAGCTCGCAGACGATTTGTCTAATGGCACATTAATTCGGAGACTCACAGGCGAGAACCAACAAACTGGCAGAAGAGGGTAGCAAAGACAGGACATCAAGTGGGTATAGAGAAGACCGAAGTGATGAAGGTAACCAAAGAATCAACCACAACAAACACCAATCACTCTCACCAGGGAAAATTTGTAAGAGGTCACTTCCTTCACCTATCTTGGAAGCACCGTTTCAGCTGCAGTCAGCACCGATGAGGATATCAAAACCAGAGTCGGTAAGGCAAGACGGACATTCATCACTTTGAAATCAGTTTTGGAACAGGGTGTTGCAGACTTCTGTCAGCGACTGCCTTCATTATCTCCATACTGAGGATCAAATGGTCGGTGGAAATAATTAGCGACGAGAAACTCTGGGAATAAACCAATCAAGAACATATTGCTCAAGAAATATGTAGAAGAAAATGGTGGTGGATAGGACACTTACTGAGGAGACCGTCGAATGACACCACGCGCCAAGCCATCGCTCGAGTGGAATCCCGATGGGAAACAATAAGTTGTGCATTGGTCCGAAGGTGGCATGGAGGAGATTGTATGAGTGCGAGATGAGAGACTATGGACAATCTTCGGGCCAGATGAAGAGGGTCTCATAGAATTGGACAAAGTGGAGATGTTCTATTGAAGCCCCTTGTTCTATTAGGAAACGAAGAAAACAGTTATATCTTCACACACTCATTGCGCTTTATCAACTTCAGTGATTGAGGAACAACAGATATGCAGAATCAT